GATAACAAGAGGGGTGGGAGTGATTATTTGAGGAATGCGATTATTTTAAATATTAATTTTCTGTTAAAGGGGTTTCATTATTTGAGGGAGGCGATCAATTGAGGGATGGATATTATTCAAGGAAATATGGTATTTAGAAGCGAACTCAAGCTCGCCAGCCGAGCACCATGGGTAAGAGGGTCTACCATCCCAGAAAGTTTGGTAATCATTGATTGACTGTACATTGCCCGCGTCCGTCTGCACCACAGGCATACCAATGTTTACTCTCACACTTTCTAGCTTTTTTGGGAACCCTGGGAGACCCGTAGAAAACTGATTGCACATCAATGTTGTGATCAATTGACAGCTGTCAAAACAAGATATCCACCGACCAGTATTACCTGACCATATCCCGGGCTCAGGTCGAGTGGTTTTCGATCCGATTTCCGATCGCTCAGTTTTCGTTTTTTACCTTACTGGATGTGTAGGAGGGTTGAAAAGTCTCATGTGTATCAGCGGGCTCAGGTGTATTATCGCGGCATGAAGGCCCATATTAACTAAAGACAAGAGCCGTTGACGAAAACACTTTACAAAAACACTAATTTTAAAAAAGTGGGCTTTTCAACTATGGCTTTTACAGCCAAGATATTGTCATGGCGTTTTCGCCACCTGAATATTGAGGGTTGTTTGCTCAAAAGAAGGCCTACCAAGGGGGGGTCACAGGCACCCCAGGACCCCCCTAGCTACGCCCCTTGAATGGTAAGCCTGAGTAATTATTGTATTTGTGTTTATTTTTTCTAATTTCATGAAGTCGAGTGCAGTTTATGAGGCTAGTTTATGTACGTTTGTATTAGGATTTGAGAGACTGATCTACATGTAGTATGAGGTTTGATATAAGCTTATGGAACTTCAAAAAGCCTTTAGTTGATATTTTCTCACCACAAATAGAAAGAAAAAAGGTTCCGAAGAATATTCAGTTAGAAATTTTGGCTGTATAAAGAAAGCTTTGAGCAATTATCTTGCCTCGAGTTCATCTTTGAAATAAGCAAACACCGGGAAGCCGGCTTTAAACATAAACTTAAGCTTTAAGCTTTAAGACTCAGGATTCTTAGAGACACTTAATACTTGTTTCCATGAATGAAAATTGCTGTCTCTGTAAATGTTTAACCAAATTATATTTCTTTTCTTTATTGTTAGTAGTCTCTTACAATTTTAATCGCTTTGCCATGTGTTTCCAGTCATTCATGAACATCACCTGCAGGAGAACTCAATATGCCACACGTATCGCTTTTTAAGATTACACAGCGTTTTAACATCAGAGGTCTTTATTGTGTTGAAGTGTAACTCTCTTAATGTTGACTGCAAATTTGGCGCTTGTCAAAAGTGAGAACTGGCTGGCCGTATAGGTGATTTTGGAAATTTTTTGACTGGTTTCGCTAAAAGCGTACGCGTTCTTCGATGGTCCTGAACACTGAATGAATGCAGTTTGTCTTGAGAAATTGTGAAATACTGCATTTTGTCTGAGGTCTGCACCTCATAGTACTCTGTCACCTCAGATATGGTGTATAAAAAGTGTAAAAGGTTGGTTTACAGGCACCCAGATTTTTTGGCAAGATTTTGTAAAATAAACTTGCCAAACACCAAAAATTTGGCCTGATTTGTTTTCCAGGCCTACATGTAATCTACTGTGATTTGATTGTTTGAAATTATCGCGGACAGAAGTCGCTATAAATTTGGCGGTAAACTGGCTTTGTTTACATGACTTGGCACATTTTTTATGACCATGGCAAATGGTCATGGGGCTGTAGAAGAAATGTTTTGAATGAACAACAAATTGAACACAGGCTAGGAGTTCCAAGTAAATATGAGTCATGCCAACTTACAAAATTGAAATCTATATAATTATTTTTATTGACAGTAAATATTTCCATGCTTTTTTTCATCCTTTGATGTGGACCTGGAGGCCAAAAAAATTTTCATCAGCCATTGGTGCTTATGGCTGCCAGTTAGGCTTTGTTCTTGTCCTCTGGTTACCTAACTTTTGTAATCTATTGTTGTTTTGTGTCGACACAATGTGGAAGAATAATTATTATCTGTTTATCTGGTACACTACATGTACATTACTCATCCCATTCTTGGCCTTGTCTGTTTTTGACTTTGTTAAGACAATTATTTTGTACTACAGCTGTAATTATCTGTTTATCATGCCTTGTGTCTTCCCTGCATTCTACATGTACTTTATTGATCCTGTTCTACAGTGTACATGTAGGCCTTGTCTATTTGTGGTATTTGGTTGCCTGAGGGCCAAATTATAAAGGCCGCCTTATTGGACTATTTCTTACTGGGTCCCACTGGCTCCACACCAACGATGATTTTATTATAACCAGCATCAGATCAGATGTGTGTAATTTACAGTAATTGGTGAGCTGGGAATCATGGTTGCAAGGGATATTGTTCTTGAGGAGGAGGATCCTAAGCTGCATGTAAAAACTCGCTCTTGCCTTCATCCACCCTACAATACCCTTTTGTCAGTCTTGACTGAAACCCACAGACTTCCATGGGTTTACTAAAACACCATCTCAGGTCCAAAATATTAAACTTGCTGATGTTGGCTCTCTGGAGTGGTTGAACTGAACAATACATGCCTTGTGTGCATTGCTGAATCCTGACTGAGGGTGACAACCCCAGATGGCAATGCTTGAAATTAACTTTTGGGCCTGGACTTCCGCAGGACTAGTAGGATTAAAATTTGCTGGTCCATCAGCAAAACTACTGATCGCTCTTATCATTTTCCAATTTTTTTTTGGATGTATGCCATTTGTGTCTGCAAGTTAATACATGAAACTGCAATAAAAAAACACAACCATAGTATTTATTTATCTATCCATGGCTGCCAAAACAAGTGTCTCACAGTATGTACTTTGCTGGCCTAATAATGTATATATGCTTTCAGGCTGTCTGTTTGGAAATGATTTGTTCCAACCCATGCCTCCTGGTACTTGCTTGTTTTTTGGTTGAAGCAGGTGTTCAGATGCTGTGTTAATTTCTTTACCATCTGATGATTGCTTTCCTCCAAAGAAAGAGTACAGTGAGCTATGCGCTTGTTTACAGTTTGACATACTTTGGCTCACGTTTTAATTCTCCAAAGGAAACTAGATACAGACCTCCGAAACAAAAAATGCCATCTTTTATCCCACAGTGCAGTTTATTTCAAGGAGAGCCCAGACTTTATTCGGCAAGAGAATGCCTAGCGCGTTTTACCTGTTTGGTTTTTGTTTGCCTTTGGCAATTCTTGATTTGTTTCAAGGCTTTTATTACTTTTTGGTACAATACCAAAAATACAATAACAACATGTATTTCTCAGAGAGTGATAACTTTACTTGTCCAGCGGACTAGTGGGGAAGAAAACTACTCATTTTCGGAATTTTTTACGCGTTTTGGATGAGTGGACAACCGTTAAGTTCGAGCACTGAGGTGGCGTGACCAATGTTGGTGGGATGTGCTGTTTTGGTTGGGGTATAGTTTTGTATGGGATTGTCTAGTTATCAGGGCTCAAAATAAATTTAATACTGTTGCCGGTCATGCTGACCATTCAGGGAATTAACTCAGTCACCTCTCTCTTCTGACAGGTCAAAATAATAATAATATGAAATGAAAATAACTTGAACGTACTTCACTAACAAGCAAGAGGATGAAGTGAAAAATGATGCTTGTCCTTTTAATGGTATGAAAATTGCATTTAACTGCATAAAAATGTATTTTTTTCCTGAGTGGCTGACAATTGGACTATTTTGCCTACATGTGCACATTGTACCTTGTTCCATCTTGGCAATCCTACAAGTGCAGGTATTAGCACATGGGAGTCCTAGAACTAACTTACTAGTTAGAATACTAAAAACCATATCAAAAAATCAAAATATCATTGAATAACAGAGCACGATGTAGCAATGTTATATCGTTACTACATGATTGTGCCACTTCAGATCCCTGTCAGTAATGCATTTAATGCTGAGAAGTTTTTCACTGTTAGCTCTATCAATCTCAACCCTGTGAAGTGGGCATATAGGTATTTTACATTTAGCAGTTACAGACTATACTGATACAAGCCTTGCATACCTTAAAAACCACCTCAACTGTAAAATACTCAAAGCACTTTAGTTTGATTATGACATTTTACAAATAATATTATTATATAAACTGCAAAGGACTGCAAACAAATATGCTGCAAAATGCAGGATATATAAATTTGATCAGCAAAAATGTACCAAGAAGACACACTCAATTCTGCAACCTGAACAAACTGCATGAAAATAACATATGTAACATTGTAAGACAAACACGGTACTGATAGAGCCCAAAACAGAGTGGGGTTTTAGCCATACAACAGCTGTTAATTTCATAGTTTAATTTAATTCTTGTTGACTTTTCAAAGATAATGCAGGCAGACCTGTGCCGATGTTTTCTAAAATATTTTTCCTTCTTGTGTTAACATTGGTTCAGAGACTAATATGCTTCTGAAAAGTTGGGAACTCTAGAAAAGTTACTCTGACAAACTAGTCAAAAAAAGGAACTGAGGCTAATACAGTGTTCTCCGTAGATTTGGGAGTAGTCAGCCAAATTTTTAAAGTAGGCAGCTGGTGTATTTTGAGTGCCCGGAGGGCATGAGCCCCTAGGGGGGTACGGGGGCATGCCCCTCTGGAAAATTTTTAACACAAAGGGGTCCAGAGATGCAATTTGAGGCATTTTGGGCACACTGCGGCAGGAAAAATGTGTAATTTTCCTGTCAGTTTTTGTGCATATTTTGGAGTCTATAACGATAATTACAGTGATAACAAGATATTTATTTGTCTCCCAATACTTATACAATCATTACTTATTATTTCCCAACATTTAAATCCTTTTACTTCTCTCAGTGAATTAAAAGTGAAACCCATGATTCCAGCTCCTTAGACTCAATATACATAAGTTTAGTTGATCAAGTTTTTGAGATAACTAATCATTGTCCATATCAAACTCAACCCAAAGTCTGAATCAATACCAAATTCAACATCTCCCATATCCATGGCATCCAGTGTGTCATGACACAAATCAGCATTGCTGGCAACTGCTTGAGCTACAACCTGAACTTGAGCATCAAGTTCAGTTTCCACAGTTACTTCACCATCTTCTTGGGCTTCAGTTCTAGAGGCCTGAAGGTCATCTGGAAATTCCACCTGTATACCAATGTCAGTCTTTGTGGCTGGATGGTGAAGACGGCCATCATGGTCTGATCCTCCAACCATTGGGAGCTTCTTAGGTGATGGCAGATTTCTGAAGTGCGTTTTTCTCCAGACTTTGGTTGCTTCTGTAAGCATCTCCCTGCACTCTTCAGTGTCATGATTAGGGCCATTGACAGAAATGTGAAGTAGGCTGGCCATCGTGTCATTCTTGAGTCGACTTCTCAACCTTGTCTTTACCCTCTTCACTGCACTTGCAGCCCGTTCCACAACTTCATTAGACATGGGCTGGGTGAGGCAAGTCTGAGCAGCATCCACAATTTGTTGAAAGTTGATTCTGTGAGCCACCTGCTCTTAAACAACTTTTCTTAGAATGAACTCAGTTGGAGAATGGTCATCTTTCTCCCGGAGAACAGCAGAGGGTACCTTCCATGATGACATCTGGTACTTGAAGGTCTACCACTGTGCAAGTGTGTGATCTTTGTCAAACTGAAACTGCTTGCATAGCATTTTTACTTCATCCACAGCATACTTCTTGAAGGCTGGGTCTTCTAGCTTTGGAAGGCAGCTCGGATCGAAGATGGAAAACGCCTCAAGAACGGGTGCTGCCTCTTGCGATCTTATATCTAGGTTTCTCTCGAGGGCAGTCATGTAGTTAACTACAAGATTTTTCAAGAATGCTTCAACCTGGCCATCATCTTTAAGCTCCAGTTCCAAACAAGCATAAGTCCCCACCAGGCTGAATGGCTGTTTGCAATTCAAAAACAAGGTCAAAGGAGGACTGGATTTGAGAAATTCTGAATTTGGTGCTTTCAAGTGCAGGTCTGATGAAGGTGTAGCATGTGTGATCTTTTTGGAGCACCTTGCTAAGGGTGTTGAGATGAGGTAGAACTGCATTCAGTAGAAGCATCATGCCAACAAACTTGGTGTTAGTCATTCTCTAGACAAGACCTTGAGCTGTAGCATCAGCTTCCTTAAACTGCCTCAATGTCTGCATCAGGGCAAGAAGGTTTCGGCAGATGCTTGAAACACTTTGACCAGTTGAAAGCCACCTTGTCCTGCAACCTTTCTGTATCTTCACTGCCAGAGACTTGGACAGCTTTTTCTGTTTTGTGTGGTCATCATTAGCAGCAACCAGCTTTATTTTCTGAAGTGACACACAGACCTTTACAAATGCTGAACAGCGTTTTTGGTACTCCAGCCACTTCCACAACTGACAAAGAGTAAGTTCGATGGTCTGGATGTACTTCACGGTGTCATTAGCATCACTGCATGCCAAGGCAAGCCTGTGGTTAATGCAGTGACTGCGTACCATGATGCTACACACTTTCTGAAGTCTGGCACCAACACCATTATTTTTGCCAGTCATGACACTAGCACCATCTGAGCCAAAACCACAAACTAAAGCAAGGTTTAGACCACATGCTTTCAGCTCCTCAGTGATGATCCTTGTGAGAGTCTCCGAATCTGCTGATTCTGATGTCTCAAGAACATCTTTTACCTCAAGAAAATTAAAATGTGTCTTCCCTTCCTCATCAACATAACCAATATAGATCAACAGGCACTCTAAGGTAGCACAATCCGTCACCTCGTCAACTAAGATGCTAAACCACTTGGCATCCCTGACCCTTTGAATTAAATTCTCCTTGATAAGCTGACCAAGGCGGAGGTGCATCTCTCACTGACTTTGTTCACTTGTATTGTTGAACTCTCACATTTCCGTGACACCAACGTGCTTTTCTAACTCAATCAGAGAGAGAAATTTCTCGTTGGCCACTTCTTCTTTTCCAAGCCAATAAGAGCTCAGGAATGCGTTGTAGGTCACTTTATCAGCCACTTGTGAGCCACTTTGTACTTGTTAGCCAAGGAAGAATTCCTTCTCTCCAACTCACAGATTACTGTTGACGTATGTCCACTGCCTCTGTCAGGGCCACTAACAGCGCTGTGCTTGTAGTTGGTGGATGGTGCTGAGTTGGAAGTTTTCTGTTTGTTGTACTTGTTTTTGCTGTTATGAACGCGGCACAGAAGGCAGAACATCCCTTCCCCTTCACAGTATACCAACCACCACATGCCTAAAATTTAAACCAAAAAGAGGCATTGTGGTCATTGTAAAAAGCAAAACTGAACTTATTATAGTAAATATTTTTATCATAAAATGTTTAAATATTGACAAAACATAACAATATACAGTATGTTTCATTTATATTTACCTGTTTTGTCACAGAATGAAGTTTTTCTGTCAGTGAGCCATGAGTGTTTGAACATATCAACTTCCTTCCTTTTCCCTTCTTTTGTTTTTTTCTGGCTTTTAATTCTGGCTCTTTCAGCTTCAGATGTGTCTGAGCATTTTCCACAACAGGTGTAAAAGCTATGTAAGTGCTTCTTTTCCATGGCATCTGAAAAATACCTTTTTAACAGAGCAATTGCTTCTGGAGTTGGTAACATGTTCGGCATTGGAGGTGTGCTTGCTTTAAGGGAAATTGGACTTTGTTCTCCGCCAGCACTACAAGAACTTTGCATGCATTGCTGTTCAGAGGTAGTTGCATTCTCAAGAGAGTTGCTGAGTACTTGATGAAGCTAAAATGGTATGATTTGGAGTGGGGAAAAACAGATGACATTTATTTTTATCTACTGTATTTAAAAAAAAATTAAAATCTGTTTCAAAATTGCAAGCTGTGAAATCGAAGAGAGCTGGAATGAGTCACAGCAGAACTAGAGGTGTTTTGAAGTAAATCGTCAACATGTCTCCTCCAATTCCGTCCATCATTCAACTGGACTTGACAGGAGGCAGGTGATGTTTGCTGTATGACAGTACCAGCTTGCCACTTCTGTCCTGACAGGTGGTCACGTGCGAGAACACGGTCGCCTACAGCTATCTCCCTGAACTTTGCAAACTTGTCGTGATTGCACTTCATTTTGTCTTGCCGGCTGGTCACGCGAAATCCAATATCAGGAGTAACCAAAGACAATCGAGTGCGAAGTTCTCGCTGTAAGAATAGCTTGGCAGGGGATGAGCTGGTTGTAGCGTGTGGTGTGCTTCTGTAAGATAAGAGGAAATTCTGAATCCACCGGTGTATAGAGCTTGCGGGATCGTTAACTGATGACTCCATTGCATACTTGATAGTCTGCGCAAACGGCTCAGCCAACCCATTTGAAGAGGGATGGTAAGGGGAAACTAAAATTCTCTGAATGCCATGTGCTGCAGTAACTCTTCATACTCTGCAGACTGGAAGGGTGGGCCGTTGTTGCTGACTACTTCGGTTGGTAAACCGTATCTGTCAAAAATATTATGCGTGGTATTAATGGTTGAGTCGGCTGTTGTTGTTTTTGTGGCACCGATCACTTCAGGCCACTTAGAGTGGGCGTCGACCATGATGAGGTAATGTTTTGCCTGATGGGTGGCAAAATCTACGTGTACACGTTGCCATGGAGCTGTTGGCCAAGACCATGGAAGAAGCGGTGAGGCTGGAGGAGCCCAGCGGGTTTTGTTGCATGGTTGACATTCACGGGTAACCTTTTCAATCTCCTGATCTATTTTCGGCCACCAAACATGACTGCGGGCTATTGATTTCATGCATGCAATTCCAGGATGGCCTTCATATAATTCGGCCAGGATGGTTTGTCTTAAAGAAGGAGGTATGACAGTTCGCAGGCCCCACATAAGGCAGCCTTGCTCCACAGAGAGTTCGTGTCTGCATGTGAAGTATGGCTTGAGGTCAGGATCGGCGTAGCGATTAATAGGCCAACCATTCTGCGTAAGCAATAGTGCTTTCGCTAACAAAGGGTTCCTAGATGTGTCCTTTGCGATTTCTGCGGCAGAAACTGGGTGTCGTTTCAACTGCTGAGGGGCCACTTGGAAGATTTCCTCTTCCACACTTGCATCTTTCCTGTACTGAAGTGGGAGCCTTGACGAGGGGTCAGCGTTGGCTACGTCAGCAGATGACTTGAACTCAATTTCGTAGTGGTATGAAGAGAGAAGAAGGGACCAGCATTGCAGTCTAGCAGCAGCCAAAACTGGAGTCTCAGAATCCGGAGCAAATATTTTCAACATGGGTTTGTGATCAGTTCGCAGAGTAAACTCACACATATGCGATAGGTGGCTCAGCACCATTGAAGAAGCGGTGAAATATGACTGCTCCGATGCCATACTGGCTTGCACCACTCTCAAGAATAACAGGAAGGCTTGGGTCATAATGAACCAATACATTTGAAGATGAGAGTGAGTCCTTGGCCTTTTTAAATGCCTCCTCGCACCGGGGACCACTTGAAGTCTTGGTTACCTTGGAGAAGCTGAATGAGTGGTTGGAGGATAGAGCTCAGGTTTCGGATAAACTTGCTGTGATAATTGATCATTCCAAGGAAGGCTCTCAGCTAGGTGAGGTTCTCAGAGCGTGGTGCTTGTTTGATGGCTTCTACCTTTTCCTCTGTAGGAGAAATTCCGCTGGCAGAGATGACACAGCCCATGTACGTTACTGATTTCTGCATGAATTTGCATTTGCTTAGCTGAAGTCGCAAGCCATAATGCTCTAGACGGCTGAGGACGCTGTTTAAGTTCTTAATGTGTTCATCGTCATCCTTGTCAGTAATAAGAATGTCATCTTCTATACTCGCCACATGATCTAAGCCCTGAAGGATGATGTCCATAGTGCGCTGGAACAGAGCGGGTGAAGACGCAATACCAAAGGGTAGCCTTTTATAGCGGTAAAGACCTCTGTGCGTATTGATGGTAACGAACTGCTGGCTGTCAGGATCCAAAGGGAGCTGCTGGTAGGCACTCTTTAAGTCGAGCTTAGTGAAACGTCCACCCCGCAGTTTCAAGAAGACATCCTCCGGGATGGGAATTGGATACTGAGGGACGTGAAGCTGGGGGTTGACAGTAACGGCATAATCACCACAAGAACGTGTAGTTCCATCTGCCTTGGGGACATGAACCATTGGGGTAGCCCATTCACTGAATTCTACCCATTCGACAATTCCTTCTGACTCGAGACGGTTGTATTCAGCTTCAACAGCTTCCTAAAGAGCATAGGGGACAGGACGAGCCTTGCAAAACTTGGAACGTGCGTCAGGTTTCATCTCTTGTTTGGCTGTGATTCCTTTGACAGTTCTGAGGCCTGGTTTGAAAACGTTAGGGTGATTGTGGATAGTTGTGTGCAACTGGGAAGCCACGCCCTGTGGGAGGTCTGTCTCTGATACGTGAATATTGCAGATCTTCGTTCAGTCGAGTCTTATTCGGGACAGCCAATCTCTTCCAAAAAGGGATGGGCCTGAGCCTTCAACAACAAGAAGTGGGACATCGGGGCTCTGGTCTTGGTACTTTAGGTGTGCAATAAGTTGCCCATGTACCTTGAGTGGGTGTCCTGTGTATGCACGTAGGCGAGTATTGGATGGCCGGAGGGGTGTGCCACTGAAGTGTTTCTTGTAAGTTTCTTCTGAAATAACTGAGACGCCTGCACCAGTGTCTAATTCCATTAGAGGAGAGGTTCCGTTCAGTTCAACGGGTATCTCAATACCTTGCTGGCCTGAGCTCAGATTGTACAGTGAGAAAGAAAAAGGATCAACCGAATCATCGGGAGGACTAGTTTGAGGGGGTTCTGATCCTTCCAGCTGGTGCACTTTCTGAGGTTTCCCTTTGCATGCCTCCGAGATGTGACCAACTTTACTGCAAGAATGACGTGTAATTTCTGTATTTACACTAAGAACGTGGGTGCCCTGTTTTTCGGCAGCTCAAACACTCCGATGAGACTTTAATGTTGCTACCAGAGGAATTCAACTTGCCTTGCTTGCCAGGACCCTTATGACGTTGGGTAAGCTGAAAACGTCGACGATTACCGGAGTCGACTTTGTTAACAGAAGCTGAGCTTTCTTGCGAGAACGCAGCAACATCCTTTTCTGCAGCTTTGGCGCCGAGGGCGACCTTCAGTGCTGCATCGAAAGTGTGTTCCTCAAATAGCAGTTTCTTTTGTGTCTCCTTACTGCAAAGACCACAGACGAAACGATCGCGTAAAGCTTCATTCAGGCAAGTGCCGAACTGGCAAGTTGAAGCCAGATGTTTCAGGTTAGCAGTGAACGCTGTGACACTCTCGTCTTCACGTTGTGTACAATTGTGGAATCGGTATCTTTCGGCGATAACAAGTTTCTTCGGTGGGAAATGATTCTTTAGGATAGTGGTGAGCTGTGCAGACGTTTTCTCAGAAGGAGGAGTCGGTGAACAGAGATCCGAAAGAATATGATAGGCCTTGGCGCCAATAACAGAAATTAGGATTGCTCTTCGTTTGTGGGACTCTGCAGAATTGGCAGGAACGCTGTTTGCCACAAAATATTGTTCCAGTCGCTCTAGGTAGCGATTGATACTTGTAGTAGCTGAATTGAACTCCTCTATTTTGCCGAGGCTTGGCATGGTCGCTCGATTCCTCGTCGCCAGAAATGTTATGTTCTCGGGCAAACAGACAACTGCACTTAACATGGCAGATCAACTAAAGAACTGTTTTAATCAAAGAGCACATGGGTGTTATAGTAACCGCATACATACTGCGGGTTCCGTATGAATTACTGACACTATAACAAGGCTATTCCAGAGCACTGCCCCAGCATAGCTGAAGCTCCTATTTCAAAATTCAATGAAATGTAGATGAACTGCAGGGTACTGTGGGGGACAAAAGGACGAATACGTTTTAGGGCCCCAGTACCAGAGGCGATTTTAGTCAACAATTTCTCGACAAGTTTATTCCAAGACAGAGTTTTATCAATGAACACTCCAAGTGACTTCACACCTACATGCTGTTTCGCAGGCAATTAGAGTATACAGAAAATTCCCATTCTCAAAATAATTATTTGAAATAGTCATCACAACTGATATGAAGCATAACATTAGTTTTTACACTGTAATTTGGAGATAATCACCTCGGTTTGAACTGGAAAATTATTTTCATTCCTCTGGTTTTAGAAAGACTAATACTTCTGTATGCTATATAAGATATTGTTCCAAGCTATTAATGTTATTGATGCTTTCGGAGACCATAAATCAAACAACAGAAGAATAGTAACTTGAACAAAATTGATAAATATAGGTGACCTTGATATCTTACACTTGCTGAATTATGATATCATATTAGTTACATGCATAAAACTCAGCATGTATTAAGCATAAAAGATTAAGGATGGTAAATAAATTATATACATACATTTATTTTGACATATGCTTCTTATTTCTTGTATACAAAAATTGCAGAATTCGTCTTAATCAGAAAATTTATTAACACCCTCTAGACATCAACTCTCGCAACAACAAATAGATATAAGGAAAACAACAAAACTAGCTGTATTTGCACTAACAGTTTGCATTGACATTGGATGTAAAAAGAAAACATATACAGTTGTAGTTGTAGTGCAGTAAGTTAAGGCTATCTTGTACATCTCGACCAGAATGCTTGCCTTGGACTCCAAAACAAAGTGAGGTTAAGGTTTCTATCGTTGCTGTTTTAACAGCAAGAGGGCTAATGATTTTTAACTCTTACTTTGAAACTGCTTGGAATCCAGGGATGCAATCGATAGAAGTGATGTCGCATTTTACATCAGTAAGATTCTTGGATCTAGCCATTGAATCTGACTAAGAAACTGCAAAATTGTCTCTGCTACTTCCTTAAAAAACTTGTACAATTTGGAATGAGCAACAGGAAATCCAGGGATCCTCTCGGTGGAAGTAAAGTCGCATTCCACATCAGTAAGATTTCTTAGATACAGCTATTGAATCTGACTGAAAATCTGTAAAACTATCTCTGCTACTTCCTTGAAATATTTGTACAATTTGGAGTGTGCAGCAGGGAAGGCTGAACTGAAGAGGCTGTAAAATAACTTCGAATCGTATACTGTGATTGAAATTGCTTTAATTTTCTTTGTGCCTATTTACAGTATAACCTAGCCCCGATGTCGATGTTGAAGAATGTAGCTTGAGTCGAAAAACTGCACAGATTATGTGAATATACATTATTTAGTTTTAAATGTCAATCGATTAGATCAAAGGTCCACTGTACAAACAAAACATTACATAACGAGTCGCTAAAAAACATGACAGTTCACTTGGGTCCGCTTGTAACGTGCGTGAAGAATATGACACTCCCCAAAGTTTATTCACGCCGTGAGAAACCTTCAATGTCCGCATTTATCAAAAAAATATATTTACAATAGACTATACAATGTTCATTTGTCGACAGCTGATCTCCCCTATCACAGCCACAGTATGTCGAGGTCCCACAGCTTGATTTGAAACATCGGCAGTAGGCCTCGTGTCTTCATTGTTTGTACTTGACTTGACCTCGATTGGAATCAATTGTTGTATGACCCTCCGAAAATAGGTTGGTCACTTGTCGCTGTTTCCAACTTTGACGATCGCAGCATGAACTTTTCCATCAGCTCCGGGAATAAGTTCCTCAACTCTTGCAATCTTCGAGTGAATTCCATTCGTTGAATCGTTTTTGAGCAACACAATATCTCCAACTGAGATTTCTTGAACGGCATTTCCTTTGTTTCTCGCATTTGACTGTTCACGTAAACTAGTGAGATATTCCTTTCTCCACTGTTTTGTAACTTGCTGTAGTAAATTCTTGTGATGGCGAGCTCTCCTTGTCAATGACTGGTGAGTACTGATAATTTCGTGATGAGCGCTGTTTGGTATTAATGTGACACGTCGCCCATAAACAAGATCTGAAGGCGTCAACGGATATGAGATTGAATTCGTGTCGTCGTACACGTAGGTGATCGGCCTTGCATTGATCACTGACTCGATCTCCACCATTAAAGTTCGCAATTGTTCAAAATTCAGAGTTGCTCGACCGAGCACTTTCTTCAGAGGTGTCTTGACACTTCGGACTAAGCGCTCCCAGAAACCTCCCCACCAGGGAGCCCTTTCAATGATGAAGTTCCAGGAGATTCTTTGATTAACGAAGTAACGCAACACTTCGTTGGATCTTGTGATCCTTCTGATCTCCTTACTCGAAGATTTGAAAGTTTTTGCGTTGTCTGATGTAATAGTCGCAGGGAGTCCTCGTCGACTAGCAAATCGTCTGAAGGCCAACAGAAAATCTTGAACGTCAAGACTTTTACATAGCTCTAAGTGTATAGCCCTGGTCGACGCACATGTAAACACACGTAAACTTTGCTTGATCCATTCGCGTGTCCATTGACAATATTTAGTGGTCCCGCAAAATCCAATCCAACATGCGTGAAGGGTGGATCTTCAGACACGCGTTCACTCGGAAGATCAGGAGTTGACTGAGACTTGTACGGCATTCCATTGATTTGCAAACAAATCACGCAATTTTTGATCACTCGCTTTACTGCTTCGCGACCTCTCAAGATCCAAAATCGCTCTCTTATCGTAGTGAGAGTGTCTCTCAATCCGCAGTATTTCACTGATGCATGTACTTTCTTGATAACCAATAGAACAAAATCGTGCTTAGCTGGCAAAAGAATTGGATTTCTTGCGCTCCCCAGTAATTCGGCATTGTTTATTCGACCCTTGCATTTAACAATACCATTTTCGAGAGATAATCCAAATTGTGAGACATAAGTTGGCGGCACAGCCTTGTTTTGTCTGTGATCGCGTAGAAACTTGATTTCTTCGTTAAATGAGGATGCTTGCACTGCCTTAATCCAAAGTTCCTCAGCATTAGTTAACTCTAGGGCAGTAAGAATTTCAGTTCCACTACCAGAACTTGACTTGGTTGGCACTGTGCTCTTTAGCTTGTTTACAAATTTAACGACGAGGGCGGTCACGCTAAGCAGTTTCGTCAGATCGCTAAATCGCGTGATGTGAATTAAATTGTCAACCTTTGGGGTAGTCGGTTCGTTCGCTGTACTGTTCACCAAGGAATGAGTGATATTAACTGCATTCTTTGCAGCTTCTTTAAGCGCTTCTTCATCTCCAAAATGGGTCGACTCGTTTGTTGGCCATTCCGTTTCCGGCTGGTATAGAAATTCAGGTCCGTTCCACCAGATTGCATTGTTCGTAAGGTCCTTAGCACTTGTACCCCTTGACGGCAAGTTCGCTGGGTTTTGTTTCCCCGGACAATGACACCAGTCGTTCTTTGAAGTTAACCTGCGAATTTCGTCCACTCGATGCTGTACATATTGTTTTCAGGGCTTTTTGTTTCTGATGCAACATAAAGCTGTCGTCGAATCAGTCCAGTAAAAGGTCTTGACATTACCTTCGGTCAAATCAAGGCTGTTTATGAGTCGGGCGAGAATGAGAGCACCTAACAATTCGAGGCGTGGAATCGTCTGTCTTTTTACCGGCGCAACTCTTGTTTTCGAGGTAACTAGACGAACATCAACCCCACCATCTTCATACAGTGATCGGATGTAAACAACTCCTGCGTAAGCACGGTTAGAGGCGTCGCTAAATCCATGAAGCTCGAATTGCACAGGCCTTGATTGGAAATAACAGCGGGGTATTTTGACATTGTTCAAACACTTCAATTTGTTCAGTAATGAATTCCAAGTTCCAAGAAGATGTTTTGGTAGGTTGCTATCCCAGTCGATCTTGTCGAGACAGAGTTCCTGAAATAGAATTTTCATTTCCACAGTGCACGGAGTGAGAAATCCCATCGGGTCAAATACCATTGCTGACAACTTCAAAACAGAACGCTTGGTCGCCGGAAGTGACATTCCATAATGGCACATATCAGTGAAGTTGAAGAAAAATTTGTCTTCGACAGTGTCCCAGTTCATTCCAAGAACCTTAACCACTGTGTCGTTCTTCATTTCAGAATTTCCGGGGGTGACTGATGATTTAGCGTACGACTCATCATCTTCCGCAGTAGCATGGTCAACCGACCCCCTTTGTTCTTGCGAACTCTCGCAGGTTTCAATCGATTTCAACAGTGTTTGAGAATTCGAGTTCCATTTTCTCAGGTTGAAACCACCGCTAGCCATAATCTTCTTCGGTTTCTGATAAACAACGAAACCGTTCTCGTCGTTCTCTTCGCCAGTTAAAAGATCGTCCTTGTACAGGGACTTGCGTAGCAGTTCGTACATTTCGGGTTCACTTTGTTTGTAGAGATTAAGATGATGTACGATGGTTTCGCCAAGGATAGAAGGGGATGGCCTCAGACCAAAAACTAAGCGATTAAATCGATATTTATTGATTTCTGGCTTCTTGGCAAGTGGATCTTTGAACCACAGAAAGCGTAGCATGTCTCGGTCATCCGATTTGATTCCGACCATCAAGAACGCCTTCTCGATATCCGCGGTTAGAGCGACGGAGTTCCAGCGAAAACTAGTTAGCATTTTAAAGATGTGAGGAATGTAGTTTTCTCCCACTTCCAAACAGTCATTAAGAGAGCGTTCGTCCTTACAGTTCTTCGCAGATCCATCGTACACGATTCTAACCTTTGTCGTTTCGCGATCTCTTCGCACGACTGCGTGATGTTGTGAGTAGCGAATTCGTCTCGTGCTAAGGTTGCCTTCCCTTGGCGTTTGATCTTCGGTCTCCGGCACAATTTCGACAATCCCGTTCTTTCTTTGCTCTTGAATGATAGTGTCGTATTCCTTCAGCAAATTCGGCTCACTCTTCAATTTCGAATGCAAAGATCGTAATGTCGTTACACACATCCCATAATTGTTAGATTGTGGTAAACAGTCACCCTTCCAAGGCAGGCCGACTTCATAATGACTACCATTGAACTTAATTTCTCCCTTTCGTTTGATTAATTCGCTTTCACAGTCGGTGTCAACAATTCCTAGGCTTTCAACGTCCCAGAATCTTTTCAGTATGTCCGCCATCTCGCCGCTTTCCTTTGCTCCGTTTGAAAAATGCAGCTCTCCAGATATGACCAAATTGGAAACGACATTGGTTTCGTTTTGTGAATTGTTGGTGGGTCCAGAAAGAAGCCAGCCAAATTTGGAAGACACTGCTGTTGGACCAGAATCGCCTCGAATCGTTTCACCACTGACCAAATCTCAATAATAGCCTGATCCAATAAGGATATCAATGTCTCCACAACTGTCATCCAAACTATCCGCTAGAGCTAGACCCTCCAAATGAGGATAGTTTACTTTAACCTTGGAAGGCAATGGTGAGCAAATAGTGGGATAACTCAAGGCGGTAATTTTGGTTTCTCTTCCTTTCGCTGCTGTCACAAGGTGAAAGCGTCGGGCAAATTGACTGATGATGGCCGCGTTGTTTACAATGGCGGCAAACCTCATTTTGGCACAAACTAGCAATATGACCTGGAGCCAAACACTTCCAACATCTTCGTTCTTTCATCAAATTTTCTTGCGTTGAACAAGATTTTGAACCCTTTCACAGGAGGCAGAATAATGCAATTCCTTGCAATAAACACATCGGGGAATATTTTTCCCGCCGTTTTGCTTGGCAAACAATGCGCTTGCGGTGGGAATTGGTGGTTTTCCAGTAGAAGGCTTGCAGTCATTTTCACTTGTTTTTACTTGTTCGCTGGTTTCTCGAGCTTCAACTTCTTTCTTAATCGTTAGTAACAATTCTTCGATTTTCCATATTTCATCCGTTGAGTTTCGAGCCACTTGTAGTCGAATTTCATTAGGCAGGTTAGACATAATTATTGGGATCAACAAGCTTCCATATTGCTCAGGAGATACACCTAACGAAGCTAGTCCTCGTGTGTGAACACTTATCTGGTCGAAAACATATCTTAGCGATGTTGGACGGTCGTTGTGGCATGGTGCTATTTTAATCAATTCGTCCATATGCGCGGTGATAATCTGTTGCGTTTTGCCAAAGCGATCCTGAAGAATTCCCACGGCGTTCTCGTAATTCGAAGCTGTCAATGTTAATCCAGCAATGGCTCTTGCCGCCGGTCCCTCTAACACTGAGTTGAGATAGTTGAATTTATCCACTTTAGAAATTTCGGGGTTGTCATGAAGGGCAGATTGAAAACTGTCCCAGAAAGTGTTCCATTTTGTGAATTCTCCTCGAAATTTGGGCAAAGTTAATTTTGGTAGCTTAGCTTTCGCTTGACTCGCCGGAACTTGACTTGTACTCGAATGACTTTCGCTGTGATTGTCTCCTGAACCACTTGATTTTTGTTTCAACTTCAAATCGATTTTTCGTTTGCATGCCATAACCTTTTCTATAGCTCGCTGAGAATCCTCGATCTCGGCCTCGATATCTGTCACATTACACACAGTTAGGATTTGCTGGTCGTAATCGTTTAGTGTTTGCAATTTCGTGTCCAGTTGTTGATAAATAACAAAGAGACGCTCGTAATCTTCGGTTAAAAGGAATGTGCTTTCCAATATTTCTTCGCCTTGTCTTATCAGCTTTGTTGCTACTCCTCGATGTCCTCCTCTGATCGCTTTTAATCGTTCCAAATCTTCTGCCATGATTCAACCTTTACCTTTTTGTCGCTTTCGGATCGCTGTCAATCGTTTAGTGGACTTCACTGCCCCACTTTGGGCGCCATGTAAAATAACTTCGAATGGTGTACTGTAATTGAAATTGCTTTTATTTTCTTTGTGCCTATTTACAGTATAACCTAGCCCCGATGTCGATGTTGAAGAATGTAGCTTGAGTCGAAAAATTGCACAGATTATGTGAATATACATTAATTAGTTTCAAATGTCAATCGATCAGATCAAAGGTCCACTGTACAAACAAAACATTACATAACGAGTCGCTAAAAAACGTGACAGTTCACTTGGGTCCGCGCGTAACGTGCGCGAAGAATATGACAGAGGCAAATCAGTTCTTGTCAGGGCATTTGAAATTGTAACCTTCCTCAGAACATAACAAAAGATCTTCTTCCAGGCTAGTGTTTGCCTGGAGATAGTGCAGTAATCTCTCCATCTTTCCATGTGGCTGTGTAACATGTGGTACTCGCCCTTGATAATAATTTAGAAATGCCATGATGGTGGGTACTTTCACTTGCAGGAGAGTAAGTTGTGCGTGAAGCTTTTTGATGAAGGCTTGATCTTACTAGATTTCTTCTAAGAATTGCTTGTCAGTTGTCAGATTTAAAACATGGACATCATGCTACAATACTCAATGCCATAGGTCATGTACAGTTTTAAACACTATTTCTGGTTACAGAAATAGTGTGACTCTCTTTGGGGTGCTCCCTCCGGCAGGGCCGTCTTGCGTTCCATGCGCGCCGGTCAACGATTCCAAGATTCTCTTATACTCCGCCGACTGCCGCACCCTTTTGATTGCATCAAAAGAGCGGGTTGGGAACTGCTCCGCCACGGCCTTATTGGTTACAATAAGGCCCAGTTCCACCATGTTCTTCTCTACCCTCGCCAAGAGAACCTTTTCCTCGTGTACCCAGCGCGCTTTCTTCCTCTGCTCAGGCACGTGATCTTTATGGTAGGCCTCAGGGTGTGCGCGACGTCGATGCTGCGAGACCCCCGCCTTGCCACGGAACTCACGACCGCAGTCCGGGCATGGTAGGAGACCAGCACCTTCGGTCACCCTTCGAGCAGATCGAGCGTCACTGGTAGAGCCCGCTGTGGCAGGCTCCCCATTTACATTGTTATTGTCGAAAGCAACGCATCAGCAAACTGCGGGCTGCTAACCCGCAGCAGCTTGGGGCACCTTTAGCTTCACCGACTGATGCGACCACCCCCAGCAGATGGTAAAGCACGTAACCCGACGTTTGACCAGTCCACCAAGCTAGACACTATCCACTCACATAATGGCTGGGCAAGATCACAGCCCATCGTTTCTGGCCAGACAGATGTTAATGTCTGGCCCAGGCAGAATGTAATAGCCATAGGGGCCTCAGGCCGCCGGCTGGCGGCGGCGGTGTATCCGCCCGTCCCGCCTCCAACATGGGCAGTTTAGGGCCCGCACGTTAGTAGGACCTTTCGCCCTACCGTGCCTCATTTTCCAGATGATAACATATCACAGCTCAAAAGAGCAAAAACAGGACAAAGCCTGATGGTACAGTGAGTGGTAGCATCATAAGCAAGGCAGACAAGGTCCGCCGGGTACGGCTGTGTAGACCAGGGGCAGCACGCACCAGTCAGCTAATGACAACTCTCGCCGCGAGAAGGCAGCACCCCAAAGAGAGTCACACTATGTGTGGCATAGTCTAGAGTTGAAGAGAAGTCAAGTGTAATGACAAGTGGCTTTGTGAAATGGACAATGATGGATGTTGGCAGAGAAAAGAATGCAAATTGAAAAGAGATGAGTATCTTAATGCTGGACCTAATTCAGTATGGCATACAGATGGGTATGATAAACAGGTGGAAGCCCTACGGTTTTCCCATTCACGGCTGCATGGACTGCTAGTAGCAGCCCAATCAAACAACTTCCCTGACAGTGTGGGCCATTCCTTGATGCAGTTTAGACATGCAGAAGATTTCTATCTGAACATAATCATAACTCACCAGGGTACAGAGAATAAGATCATGGGAGCTATCTAGGCTTCTTTTGTGAGAATACCAAAAAATATGTCGGGCCACCACGAAAAAATTAGGGAAAAAAAATCAGTGCAAAATCAGAGTTGAAGTCCATCATGTCGAGTATGAAATCTGAACGGTCAAGGGCCAATTCCGTACAAAATGAACGGGCAAGGGCCAATTCCAAACACAACACGTAAACTCTCGAGCAGCAAATGTTTTACTATTACCAAACCATAAAAAAAAGTAAATTCCCACAAAGAGCGAAAAAATAATAGTTACAATGCAGAAACACTACTTTTAAGCGACTGCAAAATGAAATTAATGAAAAACGATGAAAAACGAAGCTGCTTACCAAATGCTGAGGAAGACGGGGTTGGTGGTCAGGGCCACCGAGGAAAAAACCTACTTCGATGAATGTTGTTACACTAATAGATCCGTAAAACTGGTAATAAATAAGGGCGAGATAATAAACTATAACAAAATTTACATACAGCACGTAACAAAGGAGCGTAATTAACAAAATACCGGAGAGCGAAAAGTCATTACGGAATCGCGCCTGTAGATACGCGTCGCTAGTAAATGCAAATGTTTCTGTCAATCAAATGTGTCCTATTATTTGTAGGTGGAAATTGGTAAAACATCGTTATTGTTTTGGAGACAATAGAAGAACAAAAGGTAACAGAAAGATCAGGTTATGCGGTCTTAAAGCGTGTTGCGTGACTTAAATCAGTTGGAGCGTTTCTCCTAGCTTTCCCGCATTAAAACGTTGGAATGAAAAGTCTGAAGCTTAGCTTTTAAAATCTTGATAGCCAAAATAAAAGGGGTGCCCCAAAAGGCAAGCATTTGGGAATTCAAAATCGATATTTTTGTCTCCAGCGAAATCCGGCGGATGAACAGTAATTTGCGTATAACCGTAAGTGAAGCGAAATAGAATACAAATTGCCGTGGTTGTAAACACAACGTTTCCTCGAAGTTTTTTCCTTTTGGAAGCGTAAATTCGCATGAAAGAGCTCAGCTTGCACAAAATAATATAAAATGAAACGAATCAAATCGAAAAGTGGTAAAAAAAAAGTCAGGATATTTCAATTCGATGGAAAGTAAGTGATTGGGTAGGTGATTTGCATATTGATAAAACTAACTTTTAGCGCAGTTCAAAACCGTTCGGCTTCCTGAATTGTTTTCCTGGAATTCTATACATTCTGCTGGCCTAAATCGTTAAAATATGTTATGAAGTCAAAATATTTATCAATTTGAGCGTTTGCATTTCCTTATAAAAAAGAGAGTTGCGCAAAAGCTTCGATCTATAGATTTTCTTAAGTTAAATTACCTTTGTATCATGGAAACAATACCCTAACACTTGAGTCGTGAATCAAAGGACGCGACATGCGTCGGCTCCCTTTGTGAGCGCGCAAATAGTCATGGGACCCGCGATTTTGCGGGCGACGCGGATCTACAGGCGCCGTTCCGTAATGTAAAAGAATACACGATAACAAGTAAGTGAGAAAACGAAAAACAAAAGGAAAAAAATTTGCCCCAACATCCTGAGGGGTTTGGCTGAGTTTCACTGATTCAGCAAAATAAATACGAGGAAAAT